CCCCGCTCGCCCCGGCGTCTGCATCCTCCGGGCGCGGCGGCTGGGGGCGGGCAGGTACCGCGCGCCGGGCATGCCGGGAGCTGTAGTCCGCGCCCCGGGCGGGGCGGGGCGAGGCGAACGGGGCGGGGCGAGGCGGCCGGGGTGGTGGTCCGCGGGGCCCGCGCTCCCAATCCCACCGCCTGGGCGCTTCCTGGGCGGCCGGCAGACCCGGCATCCAGAAGAAGCCCTTTGGCCAAATCACCGTGTTTGGGGAAGGTCAGGTTCGAGGTCAGTGGGGCAATAGTGAGTGCTACCCCAAATCGGTGCTCCTTCCTCCTGCGTGTTCTTCCGATAACTGTTTTCTCTTGCTCCAGTTTAGGTTATTAAACAATTGGTGCCGGGAGAAACGTTTGCTCTCAGGATTCTGTAGCACTCACCTGTTATCTGTTTTCCAAGATTCTTTCATACTGCCCTTTGGGTTGGGGGGGGGGAGTGAAGCGGGGGATGAAGGGGGGGAGGCTGGGTTCTTTGCCAACATAAGCTGAGGACAACATAGTCGGGCTTAAAGTCGACTGACCACCCACTACATTCCAGATGCTTTGTATGTCTGTATTTGGCCCTGAAGCTCTCAGCAGCCCTGTGAGAGCTGGTATTACTGTACCCATTGTATGGATGAGGACACTGATGTGAAGTGACCCCCCTGACTCACACGGCTGGTGAGGGGCAGGCCAGCAAGGACCCAGGTGGGCTCCAGGTGCCTTTCCGCCACCAAGGCCCCTTTCCTGCTCCCCTGCCATGGGCTGTCAGTGCTCCTTGGGAAAGGTTTCTAGGGAAGAGGGTGGAAGGGGCACTGGATCAAAGTCGAAAGAACTGGGTTTTCATCTTGGCTTTTGTGGGATGAGGTACTGGGCAAGGTCTCAGCTTTCCCATCTGTAATTTGGGAGGGAGAGAGGGACTGGTTGTGTGCGCCCCCTTCTAAGCCAGACAACTTGGAGCTGGGACTGTTGTCATCATGGAGACTGCAGGGTGGGGAGGGGAGGGGACTGCAGGGTGGTCCTCTGGGACCAGGGAGGGACAAGGGCTGAAGGGGAAGCTGTCCTTAACTTTCTCACCTTCTGGATGCTTGAGTCTTTTTTTTTTTTTAATGTTTTTAATGTTTATTTTGAGAAAGAGAGACAGAGCATGAGCAGGGGAGGGGCAGAGAGAGAGAGAGAGAGAGAGAGAGAGAGAGAGAGAGGGAGACACAGAGTCGGAAGCAGGCTCCAGGCTCTGAGCTGTCAGCACAGAGCCCGACGTGGGGCTCGAACTCACGAACCGTGAGATCATGACCTGGGCCAAAGTCAGACGCTTAACCGATGGAGCCACCCAGGCGCCCCAGTGGATGCTCGAGTCTTGATCCCGGATTAAGGGAGAGGGGTCTGAGGCTTCCCTCAGTGATCCCAGTGTCCCCCTCCTCCCAGGGCTCCCCACACTGGGCAGCCTGGCTTCGTGCTGAGAGGAAATCTCCTCCCCTGGGCAGGGAATCGGTCACTGCTGCTACAATGCATGCTCTTGAGCAACTTCCTCTCTGAGCCTGTTTTTCCTTTTGCAAAATGGGAACTCTGATAGTTGCTACCGTAGAGCGTTGCCGTGAAGATTAAATCGTATAATGTCTATTAAACACCCGGCATAGTCCCTGGTCTTTAGCCTATTGAGTTGAGCAGGGGGCTGAGAGGTCAGTCTGGGGCCAACCTGTGTTTGCCGTGCCTGTGGGGCAAGTGACAGTTGTCCCTCCAGGTGTGGCGCTCTGGAGAATTACTTGGACTGGAGAGGGGAGGAGACCGCCCACCAAAGAGGACAGGAAAAGCCCCATGCGTGGGCCAGTTGGAAACAAGTTCATATGAGGAGTAGGTTGAGAAAGCTGAGGCTCAGCGTGATGATGCCTCAGGAGCCCAGGGCTGGCCAGACCCAAACTGCTCCCACAGACCTGCCCCAGGACTGGAGGCACAGAGTGACTTGCACAGGGTCACTCAGCAGGACACGATCCGTTCCCACCTCCGTCCTCCAGAAGACGGGACTGTGGCTCCCAGACCGTGAGCCTTCACAGGTTGTGCTGGAACTGGCTGCCGAGCGCAAGGCAGCCTCCAAACCTGGTCTCATCGTGGGTTCTGGAGCCCAAGCCAATAACCACCCTGCCTCCCGCGGAGTCCCGAAGCTGTGTCCTTAACCCCGTCATCAGATGAGGACACCGTAGTGCGGTCGCAGGGCTGACACCCTTCGCTCCCACCAACCATCACTCGGTGCCTTACTGTTTGTTGAATGCCCACCACGTGCCAGACATTGAAACACGGAAGCGAAGACGTCAGTCGTGGTCCCTGCTTTAGAGGGGACCTCGGGTCGGGGAGGTGAATTGGAGTGGCTTTGACAAAACATGGAAGCCCAGACGGTCCTGTTTCTGATTATGGACTGGCACTCTTCCTAGTTGTGTGTGTGTGTGTGTGTGTGTGTGTGTGTGTCTTCCCCGTTTAGAGGACAAAACCACAAACGCCCCTTAGACAGTTTCTCAGGATGATGGTTAACCCAGGACGCGAGCCAAACTTCAAATGCTTGCTGGTTACACCGCCCCCTGCTGTCCCCTTTTGGGAAGAGCAACTTTCAGGTGCTTTTTAATAAGGCTCTAAAATGGGCTTCTGAAGGCAAGCGAGAGAGGAGGAGAGGTGATCGATTAAGGGGCACAGGCTCCCAGACAAGGATGCCAGCCAACCTTTGTGGCTTGCTAGCCAGGGGACCTTGGCAGAGTCGCTTAACCTCTCTGCACCTCAGTTTCCCCACTTCTAAACTGTATCCGGCTCACGCTGTGAGGGTCGTGTTAGCAGCATCCCTGGCTTGTCTCACATCAGCCGTCAGTCCCGTGGCTAAGATGTCACTCAGCCCTGCGGGGATTTGGGGTTCAGCCCTCCCCTCCCCATGTTCAGATGTCAGAACATTCTGATCAGCCTTGACTCTCTGTTGTTGTGTTTACATCAGATCCAATCCAGTCGCTGCCTTGGCCATCAGTTCTGCCTCCTGCGTCTGAGTCACTTTTTCAGGTCACCTGAGGAGAGAAACAAGGCATATTCAGTCAGGGGGAGTGTGTCCTGACGAGCCAGAAATATTCGGATAGACTTTCAGAGGCCAGTGGTCCAGGGGGTGGACTCCCCGGTTCCCTGGCTGTGAGACATGGTGGCCAGTTACACAACCTCTCGAACCCCCTACGTTACGGCTTTTGCAATATTTACATCATAATGTTATTCATACTTCTTAGCACTCTTTCCTGCACTAAATGGTAGCTATTATAACTGACCACTTACTGGGACTAGAAGTATCACTCCAGCCTAGGTCAGTATTATTGTGCCCATTTTTACAGATGGGGCTCAGAGAGTCGGCACAACTGATCCGTAAACTTGAATATTTATTAGAGAACAAAGATGCCTCGATGTTTTTACCTAGACCTTCCTCTGATGGGCAACATTCACCAAGCCAGGGGGGGGGGGGGGCGCCGGCCAGGGCTGGACTGTAGAGTTTCCGGAATCAAGGAGCCCCAGACCTTCGCCAGGAAGAGCTCACACAGCCGGCCCATAATTTCTGCAGGCTCCAGGGGGCGCCATTCGCACCGCGAAAAGGCCGTCGAGTGTGTGGAGGAAGGGGCGCCTTTCTCTCCAGTTTGCACCAAAGGGCCGTCGGGCCTGGCCGCGACGCTGCCCTCCCGCCCCCTCCCCCCCCCCCTCCTCCCTTCCTCCCCTCTCTTCCCCTCCTCTCCTCCCCTCCACCAGGTCCTCAGCCTGGGCTCTGCCCTCTTCAGCCAGGGGTCTGGACTTCGCCCCGGGGGCCGGCGGCAGGGGGCGCGCCACCCCGCCCGGGGTCCGTGGAGCCCCATCCCGCCTCCACCGGCGGCGCGCCCCCAACCACCAGGCAGGCCCACGCGGTCCGTCTGCTCCTGCTGGTTCTCTCTGCAGCTCAGCTCCCGGGAACTGGGGCCCTGACAGTCGGTGGGCTCAGTCTTAGCGGCCTTCTCCAGGGACCTCTCTTGCCTGCAAACGGCGCTCTGGCTCCTGCGGATGCCCTTTGACGGCTTGAATTAGGACTCACAAGGAACCAGGAATCTACTGCCCATCCCCCTGCCCCCCTCGGCTGCCCCAGGGACATTTATGAGCACGTCCATGGGCCCACCTCTGCGCCATGCACTTTCACGGATTATCTCTTTTCATCTCAACCCAACAGGGAGCTGCGATGGTGATTGCCCCTTTACACAGGGGGGACCCCCTCGGGGTGTACTGTGCGCCCCCAGCGTCCCCTGCTCCTCCCCCTCCTCTCCTCGGTGGCTGGTGGGGAATGAAGATGGGAAAAGGAAGGGAAGATCTCCCTCGCAGGGGGTGCACGTCCTCTGGTGGCTTGGCTCTCACCAGAGCAACGACCCAAGCTGGCTAGGTTTTTTTTTTCCTGAAGGACTGTTTCGAGGGTTCTTTGGAGCCCCCACTGCTAGGAGAGGCTCACACTGTACTTTCCTTCCTGGGCAGGGGCTCCTCTGGGACACCCTACTCAAGGACCACCTCCCACCGGGTGCCACTGCCCACTCCCCTTGTGTCCTGGCCCTGCATAAAGTCTCTTCTGGGCACAGCAGCAAGTCACGGCTCCTGACCCAGGTCCTCAGCGGGCCCCCTGGAAGCCAAGGCCCGGCCCTGACGGGGTTCACCCCGTACATCCCATTCCACCTCGGACCAGCCTGCCGGCTCCGCTTCCCGCCTGCAGGCTCCGCTTCCCGCCTGCAGGCTTTCCCAGGCTTGGGTCCCGCCTAGCCTCTGAGCGCCACCGCCACCCCTGTGCCCCCCTGCCACGCCTGTGCCCCCAACCCCCAATCCAGGGCACAAAGGCCAGGCTCTGCAGATGGCCTCGTGGAAAACCCTCTTACTCAGCCTTCAGGGAGGGGAGCACCACCCCCCCCCCCACGGGGCGGGAGAAGTAAAGACCCACAGCACCCCAACACCTCCCTGTGGAGAGAGCCCCCCTCTGCCTGCCAGCTGCTCCCGATGGCATCTGTCTCCGCCGCCGTAGGTGGGAGGCACGGTCTCCCGAGGCTTCTAAAACTAGTTCCCAGCCACCTGGGTTGGAAGCGCTGCTTTAGAAGGTCTAGCACCTCGTTTTAGAATGTGGGTGCCGTTGGCAGCCCTGGCTGGAACCGGATCAGAAGAGCCTGCGTTTAAAAAATAGCATTTTCTTTTGCGGCACTCTCAGACTTTGAGCAAAGCCGCAAAAATAATACCAGACTGGCGGAGGCTTCACTCAAGAGTCACCAAACGTTCACATTTTCTTTCTTTTTTTTTTTTTTTTTTGTTTACTACATGTGCTCTTTCATTCTCCGTCCCTCCTTTTCTCGTTTTTCTGAACCGTTGGCGAGGAAGTCATGGCGTTAGTGGCCTTTCGCTCTTCAACTCTTCAGGGTGATCTACAGATCGGGACAGTTCTACAGTTCTCTTCTGTGCCCGAGGTACAATTACCCGCGTCAGGAAACGAGTTGTCCTGCTAATGTCCTTTGCGGCCAAAGGGGGGCGGGGAGTACTTGAGGCTCCCCTCCAGAAAGGGTTCCACTCCGCTGGCCTGTCGCTTTAGTCTTCTGATGTGGAATGATTCCTCGGTCTTGCTCCGTCTCCCATTTTTTGGGGGGAAGACGCTGTGTATTTTGTAGAATGCCTTCAGTTTGGGTTTGTCTGAGATTTCCTGACGATTACGCTCATTGTGTGCGTGTTTGGCAGGAATATCAGAGCGGCGAGGCTGTGCGCTCAGGGCCCCCCCCCCCCCCCCCGGCACGAGGTACACCTGTCAGTTTATGCCATCACTGGTAAAGTGAACTGATCACTTAACGCGGTGTCAGTCAAGCCGCTGATCGGTACAGTTCCTCTCTCGCGCTTTGAGTGTCTCAGCGTCTTGGTGGGGAGATACGCTGAGGCTCTCTTAATATCCTATTTTCCAGCAAACACATTTATCTCATCCTTAATTTTAATATTCGTGGATGGTTCTTTTTTTCTTTTAGGTTTACTTATTTATTTGGAGAGAGAGAGCGCACAAGCAGGGGAGGGGCAGAGAGGGACAGAGAGAGAGAGAGAGAGAGAGAGAGAGAGAGAGAGAATCCCAAGCAGGCTCTGCGCTGTCAGCCCAGAGCCCAACATGCAGGCCTCGAACCCAAGATCATGACCTGAACCAAAATCAAGAGTTGGACGCTTAAACGACTGAGCCACCCAGGGGCCCCCATTGATGATTCTTGCTATAATAAGTACTATGGAGATGGCCGAATTGTGATTTTTTTTTCGAATTCCATCATTTCCTCTATATTCTCAAAAAATTTTTTTGATGTTTTATTTATTCTTGAGAGAGAGAGAGACAGAGTACAAGCAGGGGAGGGGCAGAGAGAGAGAGAGAGACACAGAATCCGAAGCAGGCTTCAGGCTCTGAGCGGTCCGCACAGAGCCCGACGCGGGGCTCGAACCCACGAAGCGCGGGATCGTGACCCGACCTGAAGTCGGACGCTCAACCAGCTGAACCACCCAGGCGCCCCTCTTCTGCATTTCTTAGTGGCATTCTCTTGTCAGATGGGAGCTACCAGAGCAGACCCCACAGCGAGTCAGGTCAAGGGCCGAATCAAGATGGCGGAGGCCGGACATGAGTACCAGGCCCATGAAGGGCAACCAGGCACCTGAGAAGTTGCTCAGGGCCAGGGGAGCGAGGAGCCAGCGGGGAGTGAGGGTGGGCAAGCCAGAGGTCACATACCTCCCCAGGGGACGTCTCCAGCTCTGCTCCCAGCGGTGCCCAGAGCAGCTCCTGGTGGCCGGAAGTTCTTGCCTGGCCCACTGCAGTCTCTAGCTGTTTCTGTCTGTCCCTGCCCATCACATCCCGCACCTCACCTCTCCCAGAATCGTGTGAAGCCACGGGCGCCGCGTTTGTAGCCGCGGGCTGTCGGAAGAGCCGTCATGGGTCTGGTACCGAACTCTACTTGGTTTGTTCTCTTCATGGGCTTGTAACTGCGTTTCAAACCTTTCACGGTTCAGAAATGGGGAAAGTCTGTGCCAGGAAGCAGAAGCTGGCAGGGGAAGAGGAAAGAGCAGACACAGCCAGCCTCGGTGGGGGAATAAATCCCCACGCACCAGCCCCGGGAAGCCTCGCTGATACCCTGGCCCGGGGACTCCGGCGGGCCCCTCCTGCCTCGTTCTGGGCCACACATTCTGGAGCGTGGCTCGTGCCTTCGGCGAAATATTAGGGCCGTGAACTCATTGCCTCCAGGACTCCGATCCTCGCCCTAACCGTCCTGCCCCCTCTCTAAGGCCCGACGCTCCTTCTCTGTAAAATGGGGGAGAAGAACACGGGTTCTCAGGGTTACGGATCCAATGAATACAAAAACAGCATCCTCCCTGGCAAAGAAGGTGCTGGGTAAATAGGAGGGATTATTAGGGTCTCTCTCAGCCCCGCCAGGGTATGGATGTGGATGGCAAACATTCACGAAGACCTGTGCACATCAGTCACGGTGCTAGGGCCAGGAGGAGAACCATAGATAAGATAGGCACCGTCGAGGGTGTATAGGCCGTCACAGGGAGGCAGGAGTGAGGGGCAGCACAGCGTGTCAGTTACAGTAATAACGCATCTATGTGGTGCTTCCTGGGCTGGGCTTTGTTCCCAGTTCTTTGTATAAATCTGATCCTGTGGGGCAGGTACTGGGTTAGACCCACGGAGGTAGAATCTGGAGACTCACTGCCAGGTCTGGGGTGGTGGCCTCGCGTCCTGAGACAGGGAACATGGACAGGGGAGCAGGGTTAGGGTACCAGCAGGCAGCGGACACGGGGGTCTGAAATAAATAGGGATCCGGGCCCAGCGAGCTGCTGGGGGCCCAGATTTGAGAGCGACTGGTTGAGCAAAGTGGGTTAAGCCACCAAAATGGCTTATCTGTTACCCAGAGAGCGTGGGCCCACCTAGAAGCAGGCAGAGACTCTGGAGAACATGCCAGTAACCGGGAAGGACAGTCAGCAAGAATAATCCAGACTTGCAAGGACCTGGAGAGTCACACGGCAGTTGGGGCCATTTAGTTTAGGGGCAAAGCGCCCCCAGAAGGTATCAGTAGCCGCTGAGTGCTCAGATGCCCCCGGTACAGCATGCTCCCCCTCCAACAGGTAAATATGTTAGACCTTTCAGTGCTTAAAATGATAAAGCTTCGGTAACCTAAAAATCTCATCTCTTCCTGAATGACTCATTCCCCACGAGTTAAGAATAAACCTCTATTGTGCTCGTGTAGCTGGGTGATTCCAGCGGGAGTGACACCTGATATTGTTTTGAACTTTACCTTACCTGACATCACATCTAGCATTTGCTCTCATTTCTCAGCCTGGGCGACTTGAGCCCCGCCCCGGGCCTGAAGGATCTGGAAGGCAGACCTCTCGGGGGCCACGTGCAGCCCTGCTTCCACGGCCCCCGGGACGGATTCATTATTCAGTCCGCCATGTGCGGGGTGGGGGCTTCGGGCCCTGATCCCTCGTGGCAACGATCCAAGGAGTGAACACGTCCCAGTGCAGCCGGTTAGACGAGGCTGGGAAACTTCGGACTGTCCCTGACACAGGAGGGGTGTTCCGGCAAATATTTGCCAAGCGGACGAAAATTTCATCATCCTTGTTATCCAGGGTGGCAAGTTCCTGCCGGGAACACAGCCGGTGGGTAGGATGGGCTCTGGCAGAGGCCAGGACCCTGCCGTGAGTGGTTAATTATTCTGGGAGTTCAGACTTGAAGGGGCTGAGGGCGGAGCCCGGCCAACTCCTCAAAAAGGCGGCTCTGGGAATCCTAGAAAGGCGAGGCTCCATTTCCTTTCTCCTGCCTCTGGGCCCTTCTCTGAACCTGTCCAGACCCATCCAGGACCTTCCCAGGAGGAAAAGTCTCAGCTCGGATCAGCCTGGGTTCCTTGCTGGGAGGAGGACCCAGGGAAGGGAAGGGGAGCCTAGCTGAACCCCTGGCTCAGAACCCCACAGCTCAGAGGGTCTCCTCGCGGAGCTGGGAGACACGTGGCCGTCCTCCCTGAGCTTGTCACTGGTGTGTCCAAACCCTGCGTTACACTCCATTCTCCCTTAATCGTGAAATCTGGAAAACCACCCCGGGCAAGACCCACTGGGGGGGCGTCTCCCCTGCAATTTCTAACTGCAGGTGAGGCCCTGCTCTCAAACTAGCTGTGTGCCCTTGGGCAAATCGCTCAACCTCTCCGATCTTGTTTTTCCCATTTCTAACAGGAGTCTGTCATCACTTCATGGTACTGCTCCCTTCCTTCCGGAAATATGGTAGCACGGGCCAGTTTTACTCCCTGGTTGGGAAGCTTTACCAGGGCAGGAACATAATTCTCCTATTCACTGTCCCCTCTCCCTGAACGCAGACGTACAAGAGGCACTCAACATGCCGCGTAAGTAAAAGTCCTTTAAAAAAAAAAAAAAAAACAGGGGGCGGGGCACCTGGGTGGCTCAGCTCAGGTCGAGATCTCAGGGTTTGTGAGTTCGAGCCCCAAGTCGGGCTCTGTGCTCACGGCTCAGATCCTGGAGCCTGTTTCCGATTCTGTGTCTCCCTCTCTCTCTCTGCCCCTCCCCTGCTCTCGCTCTCTCAAAATAAATTAAAAAAATTTTTTTTAAATAATAAAATAAAATAAAAAAAATAACAGGAACACTTGATATTTACTCCGTGCCCAGCACCAAGCTAAGCGGTTTCAGTGCATTCTCTCATTTAATCCCCGTATTTCTCAAGGAAAATGTGATGACTCCCTTTTTAACGATGAAGAAACTGAGGCCCAGAGAGGCTCAGCAGTGTCCAAGGTCAGGCAGCCTTGTACGGGGCAGCTGAGACAGAAGCCAGATCCGAACTCACATGCATCTGTAGACGAAGCCCTCTCCCTGAAGCAAAGAGGCGGGGACGTTTCCAGGAGAGAAAATGAGGCTTGGAAGCATAAAAAGGAAGTATAAAAGGAAGGAGCTTTCTGGACGGCTAAACTCAGCCTCCAGGGGGAGGGGGCGTGATGAAGGATCCCCTCCACGTTGGGAGTCCTTGTCTACACTGTTTCTGACTGCTGTGCTCAACTGCTATTTGCTCCTAAAGCAGTGGTTCTCAATTGAGGGTGATTTTTGCCTCCCGGGGGATACTTGGTGATGCCTGGAGACGTTTGTTGGTTGTCACAACCGGTCCGTACTACTGGCTGGGGGCCAGACATGCTGCTAAACGTCCTACATTGCACAGGACAGCCTCGGCAACAAAGAATTATCCCGCCTGAACGTCAGGAGCGCTGAGGTTGTGAAACCCTGAGCTCGAGAAATGGGACTCCGCAATGCCGAAACCTTTGTCTGACATCCTCCTCCTGAGGTACGCATTATTTCCCTTTTACAGGTGAGGAAACAGACTCAGAGAGGTTGGGACTTAATTTAGAGCTCTCATTCAGAAAACCCGATACTATCCTATCGGCTCCCTCTTGCCCGTGGACTTGGGAGGTGACTCAGTGTCAGAGGAAATGTGATGGGCGGCGGGGGGCGGGGGGGGGGTCGCAGGTACAAAGAAGAGTAAGTTCGGAGTTCGGGAAATCTGGGTCTGGTCCAGCTCTGTTGTAATCCATCGTGTGACCTTGGGTAAGTCAACGCCCCCTCTGGTTTCATTCTTCTAGGGTTTTCCCCAGTACCGACGGATGCGGCCCGTCTACTACTGAGGGGTTCTTTGGGGGCTTGGAGACGGGGAGGGGTGACCTGGCTGCAGGCAGGGGCCATCTGGGGCCTTCTCAGACACCATTTCCATCTCTGCGCAAAGGACAAATACAGAAGGAAGAAGATAGAGCCTCGACCCTTGGGCCCGGAGTGGGGGGTTTGGGGGGTAGGCAGAGGTTTTCCTTATCACAGCAAGATTCACCTCTCAATAGCCCAGAAGTCAGAAGGGGAGACCCCCAGCATTATGGGGTGGAGGATGGTTGGCTGGGGGCATTCTGCTCACAGGACTAGAAGGGCTCTGGGGCTCCAGCCCTGCTCGGAAGGCAGGGGCAGGATCCCCCAGACCCTCAGGCTCCACCGAGCTCCCTTTGCTGGGCATTCTGGACTACCGGCTCCTTAGGAAAACCAGGCAGCCCCACAGTTGGAAGCATTTGGCGCTGTGCTGTTTTATTTCCTCAACAGGGAAAACAGAAGGGAGGCAGGACCCCCCGCTCAGCACCTGGGGCACTGCCTCCCTCTGTCCCACCACCACCTTCTCTCCGGCCTCGGCTGGGAGCCCGCAGGTCGACAGAACCCCTGGCCTCTGGGATGTCGCCCTCTGCGCCACCTGACTTGCAGGAAGAAACACTCTCTCGGTCGAGGCAGAGTCAGAACAACCAGGCCGGGCGCTGCCTCCCGTGTCCTGACCCTGCCCTCAGTGGGTCTTCCCCCGGCCCTCGGAGATGACGTCCTCTGGCTGGGCACGCATGTACCACTCTACCCAGGAGCCATCATAGATGGCCACGTCGGGCTTGCCGCAGACGTAGGCCCCCAGTGCCACGTGGCAGGCTGTGACGCCGGAGCCGCACGTGGCCACCAGTGGCTGGGACAAATCCACCTTCTTTTCCCGGAACAGACGGCGGATCTCCTCGGGGCTCTTCTCCAGGCCCTCCTGGGTCAGGAAGTCCGTGAAGGGGATGTTCACAGTGCCGGGGATGTGGCCAGGTTCGATGCCTGCAGCAGGAGGGCAGGAAGGAGGGAACACACACAAAGGGGGTATGAATGGCCCCTGGGTACTGAGAGCCTCCCGTGCGCCCACGGCGCTAACCCTCTATGTGCATCATCTCGTGTAGTCCTCCCAGCCAGGCAACCCAGGCGCTATTCACAGGCATTCCCGTTTTACGGACAGAGATGCTGAGGTTCCGTACTGCCCAAGGTCCCGCATCCAGCAAATTGCTGGCTAGAATTGGAACCCAAGACTCAGACCCCACCAGAGCCTCACTCTGCCCCCAGTTTCCCCGATCACCTGTGCGCCCTGGGGGCAACAAAGATAAGTAAGCCCTCCCTCCGCCTGGCCAGGAGTCATTGCACTTGCCCTACAGAAACTGATCTGGCAGGGCAGACAGGCAATAACTGAGCCTAACTGAGCCATTACGAGCATGAGGGTGTTACACCCTGCGGGGGGGGTTATGGAGGCATATTATAAGAGGTATTAACAGTAATCACGAGGGGTGCCTGGGTGGCTCAGTCGGTTAAGCGGCCGACTTCGGCTCGGGTCATGATCTTGCGGTCCGTGAGTTCGAGCCCCGCGTCGGGTTCTGTGCTGACAGCTCAGAGCCTGGAGCCTGCTTCCGCTTCTGTGTCTCCCTCTCTCTGACCCTCCCCCGTTCATGCTCTGTCTCTCTCTGTCTCAAAAATGAATAAAAACGTTAAAAAAAACCCAAAAAACAAAAAACAGTAATCATGATAGCTGGTGTCACTGAGCGCTTACTTTGTGCCGGGCACCGTGAGGAGCCCCTCTGCTGTATTTTCTCCCCCCCAGACTCTAGGGGACAGAAATGATCATCCTCCCTTTTACACAGACGAGGAGCGTGAGGCACACAGACTAACTTGCCCGAGTCAGAGGGGCCCCAGAGCTGGGGCTGTTAACCACCAGGCTGCGAGGGCAGGGAAGCTTCTCTGAGAAGGCGCTGAGGGTGAGCAGGGTTCTATCAGGTAGAGAGGTCTGGGCAGTGGGGGCTGAGGGCACGCCAGGCTGGGGAAGGGAGTCTTTAGAGGGGGTAAAAGTCATTGGGCCAAAGCCCAGACATGGGGGGAGGTCGAGGCCCAAGAGGAACCAGCAGGCACGGGAACACCGTAACAGGCCTGGATTAAGATGTAGGGCTTTGGGGCACCCGAGTGGCTCAGTGGGTTGAGCGTTTAACTTCGGCTCAGGTCATGATCTCTCAGTTCATGGGTTCGAGCCCCATGTCGGGCTCTGTGCTGACAGCTCAGGGCCTGGAGCCTGCTTCAGATTCTTTGTCTCTGCTCTCTGCCCCTCTCCCACTCACATTCTGTCTCTTTCTCTCTCAAAAATAAATAAATATTAAAAAAAAAAAAAAAAAAGATGTAGGGCTTTGACCTGACTGCAAGGGGACACCAGACTTCCGTTTTCAAAAGATCATTTTGATCCTAGCTGTTCATAAAGAGGGTCATTGCCCTAAACCCGGTCATTTGGTTTCACCACCCTCTGCGAGGCAGGTGTTAGTAATATTCCCATTTTCACACCAAGGACTGAGACTCGCAACAAAATAAACCCTCACAGCCCATGATTCAAAAATCCCGGCCGTTCAGACTCTAGGGTGAGGCTCTAGCCTCGTGGCTTCTGCCTCGATTTCCCCCTGCAGCGGGTGACACTCCTACAGAGAGCTGCGGACCCGTGTCGACAGTTATTGCTAGACCTTAGCGCCCAGCCAGCGCTCTGAGCCCGTGGTGAGGTTGGAATGCGCCCTGCACCCCCAGTTAGGTGCAGCAAAGGCTCACTGAGAGACATCATGTAGAGACCAAACTGGAGCAAGGAAGGAGAGCAAGCTCTCGACCCAGGTTGGCCGCTGTCCGAGCAGGGCTGTCCCCGCGCCTCGAACCCCACCAAGCAAAGCAGGCTTCCCCCACCCCGCTGAACGACGGCAACGATGTGATGCCCTCCACTGATCTAGACCCAGCTTTTACGCGCACTGGCTCGGTCGGTCTCTACACAAGCCTGCTAGGTGTGTGCCATCGTCTCTTCCTTTACAGGTGAGCAAGCAGGAGAGGTGAGCATTTAAGCGCCTCTGTAAAGGGCCATAAGCACGGACGAAGCACACAGGAATTACGTCACCCTCCTTGAGGGCACCTTATGTGTGCTGAGCGCTCTATACATGTCTTCTCGTTTGGCATTTGACGCTCACCGCATCCCTACCAAGCCCTGTTTTCTCCTCTTATTTTGCACGCGCAAACGCTGCAGTTCAGAGATTAGATTAGGTGACCGGCCAAGTGGCTCACTGCCCCCACCCCCTCCCCCAAAGGGCTGAGCTGAAGGCCCTAACAGGTTCAAGGTGGAACCACATAAAATTGTCACCTATGCGGGTTCCAAAATGGCTGGCTATCAGCAGTGCCCTACGGTCGGATCTCAGGTCAACACTGCTCTGCATGGTTCCATGTAGCGGGGTCCTTCTCGAGTCCCCAGATCTCTCTGGGACGTTGATCCCATGCCAGCTTTTGGGTCAGTCTTCGGGGATGCACGGGGAGCAGGGCGGACCCTTACCCTGGGGCCATGTGAAACAGTAAGAGGACGGGCCCAAGCTGCTTTGTAAGCACTGAATAGAAGCCCCACCCTCATTCAGGGGCAGTAGGGAGGCGGATGCCATTCAAGGACAGACTCCCAAGACCAAGTAGCAACTTCCTCGCATCCCCCCTGAAAAAGGCACGAGAGACAAAAGGCTGGGTAATGACTGCTTGCTCACTGCAGTTAAATGTACCGCCCCAGCGCCTGGCCGGGCTGCTTCCTGACCTCCAGCAAGGTAGCCATTCTGAGACTCCATTTCCTCCTGGGTACAATGACAGCACCCATCTGTCGCGGTCATTGAAAGGCTCACACGACCGTGGCCATTGGCCTACACGTTTGCAGGGAGCCCTGCCCACGTCATCCAGGGCTTCCCTGTGGTCTCCTTGCCTGGAGAATTCAGCTCCCAGACACAGGGCTCTGCTCTAACCCAGGCCAGCAGCCACCTCTATTCAGTTTCTCTCCAACCTGGGGCCGGTGATACCGCGCGCGGCCCCTCTCTCCTGCCCTCTGCAAGCCTCGACCCCTCTTAGGGGCCTTTCATCCACTCCCCTACCCCAGACTCCTCCCCCTCCTCCTCCCCCAGTCTGCCTCCATCAACAGCGGGGTTGGGTACACCCGATCAGGCCCCATCCCTTTGGGGGCTTTTCCTGCCGCCCCTCCTGTTACGCAGAGACCGCCCTACATCCGCAGAATTGGGGTGGGGCTGTTTGGCTTCTCACCTTAATACAGGGCGCCCTGGGTTCCCAATGAGTCTGGGGCAAAGCAAGTGTTCGTGTCCACTTTTAAGGAATAAAGCCAGGGAGGCTCAGAGAGTGAGACGACTGGAAACCACATCTCACGCCCCCGCCCCATGCGGCGTCCTTCAAAGGCGAGGCCGAGGCAGGGCTCAGCGCGTCCCTGGCCCCGCGCCCCAGGTGACCTCCCGCCCCTTCGCGCGTGTTTGTTACCGTCTCGGGGCTCGGGCTCGGTGCCGCGGAACCGGCCGGCGGCGCGGGCGTCCACCACCTGGAAGCGCCGGGATTCAAGGTTCTCCTTCATGTCCTCGTACGTCTTGACGAAGGCGGGGTCAAGCGAGGCTCGGAACTCGGCGGGCGCCGGGCGGCTCTTCCCCGAGCTCAGCGGGAGACCCAGGCGGAGCCAGTGGCGCAAGCCGCCGTCGAGCAGCGACACGGTGCGGTGGCCGAAGGCGCGGAACATCCACCAGACGCGCGGCGCAGAGTACAGGCCCTGGTCGCTGGCGTCGTAGATCACGACGTGGGTGGCGGCGCCCACGCCCAGGTGGCCCGCGTACTCCGCGAAGTGCGCCGCGCTGGGCAGCATGTGGTCGTAAGGGGACGTGCGGTCGCTGCACTGATCGATGTCGAAGAAGGCGGCGCCGGGGATGTGGCGCTCCTCGAACTCGCGGCGCGCGTCGCGGCCCAGCTTGGGCAGGTACCAGGAGGCGTCTAGCAGCTGCAGGGGCTGTCCCGCGCGCGGGGTCCGCAGCGCCTCGGCCACCCACTGCGCCGACACGAGCGCGCGGAAGAGCTGCTGTGGGGGCATGGTGGCGGCGGCGGCGACACCGGGGCTGCAAGCCTGGGCGACAGGGAGGATGTCAGGAGGGAATCGAGGAAGAGGCCGGCCAGGTCGCTGCAGATGCCCGCACCGCTGGGTCTGGCACTAGCCCGCAGGGGCGGTGGAGCCCCGGGAGGGCAGAGTCCAGGGAACACAGAAAACCGGCAGAGGCAACCCCAGGGGCAGACTTTGGTCACCGGGGCCTCCCCTCCCCCTCCCTCCCACCCAGGACACCTACACGGGGAAGAGCAACGGAATGACCCTGACCCCTTGGAGGGGGCCAGGCGGACCCTTCATCGCTGCTTGCCGGGGTCAGGTTCAAGCACAGGAAGGCAAGCAGGGGGCAAAGTCTCAGCCCCTCCCCAAGGTCCCTGGTGGAATTCGTAAACTTCTTCGTCAAACGTTTATATAAGCAGCCTCACGGGAAATAGTAGCTGAATTTACTGACTCCTTGCTATGTATCATTTCATCTCACAATACCTCGGAACCCTGCAGGACACAGAGTAGGCTCTCAATTATTCCCCGGACAAGTAGCCTCCGGAAGGTTGGTAGGGGATATTCTCACTGTCACGGAGGGCGGCGCTGAAGTTTAAAGGCTCCAGTGGCCAAGGTCAACAGCTAAAGTGGTGGCGACACCAGAATCCTGACTCTTGCTGGCCAGTGCTGTGCAGGCCCCCCCCCCCCCGCCCCGTCCCATCCCGTCCCTTCCACTCCCCTGTGGGCCAGCCACTGAGAGTACACACAGCCCACGACATGACACGCAGGCCACAGCCTGCCAGGGCCAGGATGCCCTGAATGTGTTGGGCACCTGTACAGACAGCCCCTAGTTCCTCAGGTGCCTCCGCGGGGGTTAGGGAAAGGTGCCCCTTCCGTCAGGGCACGTGACTGGGTGGGTGGAGCCTGAGCCGCAGGTCAACCCCCATACCCCGTTGGCAGGGCACGGCCTTACCATCCATACCAGGCCGTCCTGCCACAGAGAAGGGGTGGGGAGAGAAGAGGTGCTTTGTGGGCCAGGCCACACGCTAAGCCCCGTGGCCTTTAGTGGTGGGCATATGACAATGTCTGCCTTCTGCGCGAGGCAACTAGAGATGTGCTTTGGCCTTGCTCACACAGCTGGTCAGCTCCGGAGGCTGGACCTCTTCCCCAGCCTCGGGTCGGTGATGACCAGGGCCTAATCAGTCCACAGTGTTACGCCTCGTACCCGGCCTCTCCCAGTCTGGCTTTTAGGAACTCAACTCCACCCACGAGGCCAGGCCTTGTGCTGGCCACTGAGAAACTCTTAACGTTGCCAGGCCCCGGGGGGGCGGGGGGCTGTGGCGGGTAAAGACAGGCCACGGGCCTGCCCAAAGGACAGCATCATTGAAGAAAGTCTGGGGTTCAGTGCAAGCACCAGGGACCGATACCTCAGCCTAGGGTGGGAGCAGAGGAAGTGGGAAGTCTTCCTGGAGGAGGAGGAAGTGCGTGCAAACTGATTTGACTTTTCCAGGGGCCCAGGAAACTGCGGCTTGACCTTCAGGATGAGGAAGCTGCCCCGAGGTGGCTTTTTTTTTGGCTAAGGGGCCATCTCAGTGCCCGTGGGTCCTACCACAGCTGAATAGTGTTGGCGGATGCTGTGGGTCCCTTCTTAAAGAACCCATCTGGGAACCACAGTGGCTCCTGCCCCCTGGGATTCTTGGGGCTCCTGGTTTTCTATCCAAGGATCCATTTAGAGTAGAAAGAACCCTGGACTGGGAATCAGAGCCCCGGCCTCAAGTCAGTGCGAATCACTCGGCTCCTTAACTAGCCGTGCGAGGGCGGGCATGGTAGGCTCCCCAGCCATTTTCACTTCTTATAATGGAGCTTCCAACCTTCAGCTCTTACAGTGGAGATTAATGAACAGTTAATGACTGTTGAGGGGCCATCACAATGCACTACAAATGGCCGGTGTCAATAATCATTAAAAACGGCTTAATAAAAACCCAATGATTTCTGAAAAGTTATTCCCATAGGTGGCCTTTCAACAACAACAACAACAACAACAACAACAACACATCTAGAATCTTAAGAATTTCAGGATTGGGTGGGACTTGGGAGGTCTGGGGTCACCTGGCCTGGCCTCCCCCCACCACCCCCCCACCCCTCCCCCCACCCCCACCCCCGCTTTATGGTCAGTTCTCACAAAGGACTGCAGGAGGCAGGTGAGGGTCTGGGGAGCAGGTTGTGTGTCACCGAAGGGCGGGGCCCAGGTCCTGGCCCCGCTTGCCAAGCCTGGACCACCTCAGGTGGGGGTGCTCTGGGAGTGAAGGACTCCAGGACCCACAGGACAGCCCTAGCTGTATCTCACGAGTGTCTATACCCACTAGGGGAAGTGTGAGCCCCAGGCTGCCATCTGGGGGGGAGGCCCTGGAAGAAGAAGGGCTCCAGGCAGACTGGGCTATCCTCGAGGACTTCCCCCTAGTCTGCTCCGTCCTGGTACCCCCCCCCCCCCCACGTCAGGGCCAAGCACAAAGTTCGGAAGATTCTGGAGGCCAAATGCTTGTCAAAGTATGAATGTCTCAACTGCCTGTGAGACTAGCATTATTTCAGAATAAAAAAGAGCCTTTCCAAGGGAGAGGAGAAAAAGCATTCGGGACATATGTAACACGAATGCAAAAGCGGCTTAGGAGCAGGGGTGAGCCACCAGCTTGCAAGGACCAGTTGTTAAGATTTTTCAGGAATGATGTCGCCTGGTTGTTAAACACGGCCCATTGTTAAAAACCAAACGCTATAACCTTATAATTAAATAGGTTAATTAAAAACAAAGGCAATTATTTTGAAAAGCATGAGGCTTTGGGGTGGAGCCAGGTAAACCGAGGCAGATCCGATGGGCCTCAATTGCTTGGTGTGCCCGTGGGGTGACCAGCTAGGCCTGTCTGTCTGCTCTCGAAATGTAAAGTTTCTGGCCTACTCCGTAGGGTTGTTGTGAGAAGTCAGTAAGGCCCTAGGAGCGAAGTATCTCACCGAGCAGGCCTTGGCCAATGTTAGTTTCGTTTTGCTCCGGCAAGTTCTTTGCCAGTTTCTCCTCTTGGAGCCTCGGCCTTGTCTCCCTGGCCTCTCTGTGGGGTTTCATTGGTCCTCTTCCCTCCCTCTTACCCTCTATGGTGGCACCAGGTGACCCCCCCACCCCACCCCTACCCCCCCCCCCCTCCCCCCTACCCCCCCACCTCCCCCCTACCCCCCCACCTCCCCACCCGCCACTCACTCGGACGTCACCCAGCAGGCCGCCCCGAGCGGCGGCGGACAGCCATCCTTAGGGCGAACTCCGGGGCGCGTCTTCCCTCCTAGACTGCAGCCCCCTACTCCGCTCTGGCCCCGCGGGGGAGCCCCGCGCCGCGCACCCCGATGATCCACCTCCCCCCAGAGAAAGGCAAGCGCGATGCCGCAGCAGTTACCCCGGTCTCGGGCTCCGCGCTTCCGGGCTCGGTCATGGCCCCAGAGCAGGGCGCCCCCTCCCCGCGCCCGAAGTCGTCCCCTCCTCCCGCCACCAACCTGACGCCGGCCGAAGGGAGGAGACTCGAGCACTGCCCACCGCCGCGGCCACTCGGAGCCAAGGCTGCTCGCGCCTTCCACTCTCTGGGCCAGGGGGACACCCGCGCCGCCGCGTCCCGCCCCGCGCCGCCCCCGCGCCCCCCGCGCCCTCCCGGCGGGTCCCCGGGGTCCGAGTGGCGCTGCGCTTGGTGGGACGGCGCGGGGGGGGGGCGGCCGCGGCGGGACTGCAAGAGGCGGGGGCGTGGCGGGCGGCGCGCCGTACCCCCCTCCGGCGGCGGCGCGATGGTGCGGGCCGGCCGGGGAGTTGTGAGCTCTGGGTTTGAACCGGCCAACTTCTCCAGCGGTCGGGGGCGAGCGTCAGGGCGGCGGCGAGGGCGAGTGAGTGCGGCCGGGTGGGGCGGCGGCCAGGCACCCCGGCCGCTCGGGATTGGGCCTCCGATCTGGCCCCGGCAACCCAGGGGAGGGTCCCCCTGGCGAAAGCGGGACGGGGTGCCCTGGGAGCCTCCGACCCAGCTAGGGTACCGAGCCCGGGCGAGTCTGGAGGCGGGCGAGTCCGCCCAGGCTGCCGAGATTTGCCGCGGGCGCGCTTGCCGGGGGCGCGAGCGAGGGCCCCTGCGGGCTCCAGCGACCCCTCCCCCCAGGCGCCCACTCCCCTACCCTCCCAACAAAGGGGGCTTCTCCGCTCCACATGTCATCTCCTCCCTCCTCCTGGCCATCTTTTCGCCTCTCTCTTCTGGCAGGATCTCCAACGCCTGTATGGTAGCTTCCGGAGCCAGAAGCCCTCCGGGCCAGCTCCCCCAGTGGGGCTCCGGGGAGCTCTCGCCCCGCCCCCTTCGGCGCGGGGGCCCCAGGGAGGGGCGGAGCAGCCCTTCCTTAGGGAATGCAAACCTTCCCACTGGGTGCCCGGGCCCGGCCGGGTGGCTGGGCCTCTGCAAACACGCCGCCCTGCGGGGAGCGCGGTGGGAAAAAGCTCCTCCCAGGTCCCGCTCCCCTGCACGCACGGCCCTCACACGCTGCTCTCTTTTCCTGGTTTCCACCCGCGCCAGGTGATGCGCAGAGCTGAAACCATGGTCCATCAGGTGCTCTACCGGGCGCTGGTCTCCACCAAGTGGCTGGCGGAGTCGGTTCGGGCTGGCAAGCTGGGGCCTGGCCTGCGGGTGCTGGACGCGTCCTGGTACTCGCCGGGCACCCGCGAGGCCCGCAAGGAGTACCTAGAGCGCCATGTGCCCGGCGCCTCCTTCTTTGATATAGAGGAGTGCCGGAACGCGGCGTCGCCCTACGAGATGATGCTGCCCAGCGAGGCCGACTTCGCCCACTACGTGGGCCGCCTGGGCATCAGCAACCAGACCCACGTGGTGGTTTACGATGGTGACCACCTGGGCTCCTTCTATGCGCCGCGGGTCTGGTGGATGTTCCGTGTGTTCGGCCACCGCACCGTGTCGGTGCTCAACGGCGGCTTCCGGAACTGGCTGAAGGAGGGCCACCCGGTGACATCTGAGCCCTCAAGCCCAGAGCCGGCTAACTTCGAAGCCACACTGGACCGCTCCCTGCTCAAGACCTACGAGCAGGTGCTGGAGAACCTTGAGTCTAAGAGGTTCCAGTTGGTGGATGCCCGGTCCCAAGGACGGTACCTGGGCACCGAGCCAGAGCCAGATGCAGTAGGTACGTGTCCCGCTGGGTGGGTGATCCCTGGGTGGGGGTGGGGGGTGGGGTACTGCCCAATGAAATGATGGAGAGCAGGGATGTCTGGGACCCTCTCCAGGTTTTGCCCTCAGTTACCCCATACGTGGGCTCCAGTCTGCATCTGTGAAATGAGAGAATAGAGCCAAATCCAAAAGCTTTCTCAGCTGTGATGCATGAGGACCTACATACGTGTTCCCATAGCCACGTGCTAACTAGCAACCTGGTATCCGCATGGGGTGGCATCAGCAGAGGTGACTGGTGACATCTCCACCCACGTCCCTGCCCGGGCACTCCCCCCCCCCCCCCCCATGCCCAAAGGTATGCCCATGAGCCAACACGTGCATCTCTGTGCAAAGCTCCCAAGGACACCTAGCTTGTTGGGGCCGCTCCTTTTCCCCGGAAGCCCCCCATAGACATCAACCCTGCCCTTCCCGCAGCACCCCCTCCCTCCTGCCAGCCCTCCCAGACCCCCTGACCTTTCCAAACAGCTGCAGCCTGTTTGCAGAGCTATTAAGAGTAGCTGCCATTTCGTGCTGAGTAGTTCACATTGCATTATCTCATCCTGTCCTTCATCCGAGAAGGCCTAATATCCCCATTTTAGAGAGGGGGAAACTGAGAAGTGAGGACATTAAGTTACTGGCTCTGTTAAATGGCAGAGTCAGGAATTCCACCCAGTGCCGACTGGTTTCAAACCAGTGCTCTAAGCCAGGCATCCATCCACAGGGAGGTGGCTCGCGAATCCTCTGCTGCGGACAAAGGGCAGGCCTGGGGGGTTCTACATTGCCGGAGGTGGGGGGAGTCTCAGGAGAGGACATGCTGAGTTCTAGAACCTCCTAACAGAGAACCATAGCAGTCTCACCATCACCCTGCTAGGTTTCCTCAGGCCCCTGCCTGGGCACCTCTGGTGGCCGGGACCTCACTGCTTTGGGGGTCTCTGGTGGCCCCGGCTGGCCTGAGCCCTCAGAATGGTCGGCACCTCCTGGCTCTGGGCTCTGTCCTCGGGCAGGGTCTGCAGAATCTAACTCCCGTGCAACATTTTTCCTAACTTTCTGTGCCTCTGAGGGGAGAGGACTCTGTGACAACAGTTTGGGACACTCTCCGGGCTGGAGGTCCTGAAAGATCACCTCATGGGACAGAGGGGAGACTGAGGCACACAGAGGCAGGGGCAGGTCAAGGCCACATGGCCAGTTAGTGGCAAAGTCCTGGACTTTGAAGATTCAGAGACTTCTGGCCTGGCCCTTCCAGCAGCCCCACCCTTGCCTCGGTTCCGGCTTCTCTCCTTAGAACTTTCGGTGCCCCTTGGGAGATGAATGGTAGAGTTGATTCCCTTGCTGCCTCCGGGCTTGCCCTGAAGCAAGCTGGAAATAAGCGAAGAGGTGTCAGATCCAATCTCCTCACTCCCATTTTAGAGATGAGGACACTGAGGCTCAGAGAAGAGTCCCTCCCCATTCTCCCTCCTCCCACCGCCTCCAGATCTCAGGGAGCATGGATCCTCAGGAGAGGTCAGCCCCCCCCCCCCCCCCCCCCCCCCGGGGGGGGGGATCTCAATCCGATGTCTTGGCCTCTCTGGGTTCCCTCATTGTAAAATGAGAAGAGGAAAGCCCAGCCCTCCCCACCAGGCTGGAAGGGTATTTTGAGAAGGGGGGAGGAGCTCTGCAAAGCCCAGGGCCACCCAGAAAGCATGGAGTGGCACTCCCCTCCCTCATTCCCTAAGAGGCTTTGCTGGCCTCCCAGGCAACATAGTTTGGGGGCACAAAGGCACATGAGGCTCCCTGAGTTCACGGTCCCCAGCTTGGGGTGGGCTCAGGGAGGCAGCCCGTGAGCTCCGGGGTCCAGATGCAACACCCAGAAGGAGGGTCCTGAAGCAGGAGCTGGGAGCAGGGCCTTGGACGCCCCATGAGCTTGCATCATACCCTATGCGAGTCCTTGGCCTCTGAACCCTTCCCTCCTTAATGAAAGGAACGGGCTCACCTTATAGAGCGCCGGGGAAAGCCAGCGAAGGAGGGGACGGTCGATCCAGCCCAGTTATCTTCATAAACCTTGAGGGCAGTGAGGGTGAAGAGGGTATCGACCCCCTAGTAGGCATTTTTATCAGCCCAGTGTTTCATACATGTTCTCTCCTGGTGGAAGGTGGGGGTTAGGACTGATCCCAGTTTACAGGTGGGAAAGGGAGAAGTGGGTTCTCTAAGGAGGCAGAGTGGCCAAGGTTTGACCCCAGTCTGCAGGCCTCAGGGTGGGGCTGTTTCCCAAGGCCACTGCTGTGTCAACAAACACAGGGACTGGGGGAGAGGGGAGGCCGGGGGAGGGGAAGTCACAGCCTCACGGTATAGTGTTGCTTCATGGGATCCTGTGTGAGTTCACAGCCTCCTCAGGAGCTGGGAGCCTCCCACCCACCCCCGGGGTAATCTGAAACCTACCCCCAGATGCAGAGGGCAGGGCAAAGCCTAAGAAAGATCAGGCCACTTCAGATGGGTAGGTAGCCGTTTTCATAAGCAGGGGAACTTACTTACAAGGCTTGTCTTGAGTGGCCGGCCGCAAGACGGGTAGATTTCCGCACCCGCCTGCCAAATCTTGAAAGTTTATACAGAGACATTCACTGGGTTGAGTCACATACACACGGTCCAGCTGGTCTCGACACCGCATCGCTATCTCAATGCCATGTCCTTGGAGCAGCCTCTGGGAGCCCGGAAGTCAAGCAGAACGCACATCCCAAGGCCGGGAGGGGGAGAGGCATCCCTAGCTGTCCCAGTCCAGCTCATGGGTCAACTGGTGCTCTCCATGACCTCCCCCGACTTTCTACCCCTCACATCAGCTCTCACCACCTCACACGCATGCCCCCTCTTCTGCACTGTGCCCTGAGGAGTCAGCAAGGGGTTTCACGGGGCCTGGTGGTGGCTCCTTTGGAGGCTATGCGGCTACATTGGAGGCAGGCGCCATGGCGACAATATACAGGCACATGCAAGAGAAAATACAGAATTAAGACAATGAACCCCCAAGTCAGGGATGGCATTTTCCATCAAGAGCCCTGTCATCTGAACCATTGGTTTATTAAGTCCCCTGGGCTGGGGTTCAGATAATTCAGGGCATTTACTTGTATTCTCACGTGATGCAGTGAAGGTGATGCCTAACAGACTCACCAGATATGAACACACAGCATTCTGTTTGGATGATGGCCTCCTTGCAAGGCAGCGCCACCGTCTAAGTCCATCCTGTTTCGGGGGGTAGCTTTTCTCGTTAAAGACATTTCAGGGTTCAGCAAGGACAGGTTTTGGTGACTATCATTCAAGGCTCGCTGGGTGAATTTAGTGAGGGCTGGCACGTGTGCTAGAACGTCCGCCAGGATGTGGAGCGAGACAGCAGCCCAGTGATGTACCATTGGGAGATGACATGTGCCCACCTGGCCTCAAGGAGACGGAGATTGTCAGCTTTAGGACCTCTGTCTGGTTGTGCGCACCACGTGTAGGGGCCGGGGGGTGGGGACGGGAGGGGGGGAACAGCGCTTTCAGGTGGGAGGAGAGAGCATGCATAAGTAGGGGAGAGGGAGACAGAATCCCAAGCAAGTCTAGCCCTGTTAGCATGGAACCCGATGGGGGCCGGGCTCGAGCTCATGAACCATGAGATCATCACCTGAGCCGAAATCAAGAGCTGGCTACTCAACTGACTGAGCCACCCAGGCGCCCCTCTGTTGGCCCCTTTTGCAGTATGACCCCCAATCACTGTTTGGTTAATGAGGGTGTCTAAAGATGGCATTTCGTTTCTCTAATACCCTAATGGTGGCAGCCTGGTTTGGTGATCGGGGAAAGCTTGGGCTAGGCCAGACACAGTGTCTACACAAAGCAAGCATAGCGAAAACCTGCACTGAGGGAGAGAGGAGGCAATATACCCAATTTGCCCCTCTGTCGTCAATGGGGAATTCTCGTGAATGACCCCAGGCCCCTTTGCCAGTCACCCTGGGTGCTGCTTACAATACACGGGGCATGCTGTTAGTGGATTAACCAAATCACTGTATTTCAGGGGCAATCGAGCATCCTTGGCAATAGGCCAGCCTTCCCCGGGCACGCTGGCGGCCGCTCTCGCCGTGCACCCGATCTGCTGTATCTGCCGAAGGTTGTACCCGGGCTAGGGCCTCAGCCTCCTGATTGCCAGGGGGGTGTCAGTGCCTCGTGAGCCGGGATATGGAGAAGGGAGGACTGCCTCAGACTCTTGCAGGCGAGCCCAAATATTCCCTCATATGCCCTGACCCCATGAGGGCCCACTCATGGTCATCCACCCCTCCGCAACCCCAGTAGGGTTGATCCCTTTAAAATAGGCCAGCTGTCGGTGCAAAAAGGGCAAAAGTCCAGGGTGCAGGGGGGGACTCTCCGCCCTCTGAGTTCAGCCCACTGGCTGCCGTGGCTTACTCCTCCCCGAGAGTCTCCATCCGGAGGAGCCCTGTGGACCCACTGCCAGGAGCTGGTGCTCTGTGGGGGTGACCAGAGGTTTGCCCCCTTTCCAGAGCTGCGACTAAAATCCCAGGGGGCCTCTCTCTGTAATTAATTCTTATTCAGGTCAGTGGTACGATCTTAGTTATCAGAAACCTCTATTTCTCCGTCTTTTCCGTGAATCTCCCCGAAGGTGGAACACCTGAGGGGGAAGGAACGCTTTTGCAAAAGCATCCGAAGTGAAGCAGTAATTCTGGGTAAGAGTTCATGCTAATGCAATTGACAAGGGGATTCGGTTATTTTGGGGGTATATATTTTAAAGTAATAACCAAGGTTGTGATCAATTGATGCTATTATACCACGACATACCAGAGTTTTAGGAATACTTTTTAGGGTTTTTTTCATTTTATTTTGAGAGGGAGAGACAGTACCAGCGGGGGAGGGGCAGAGAGCGAGGGAGACCCAGAATCCGAAGCAGGCTCCAGGCTCTGGCTGACAGCTCAGAGCCTGACGTGGGGCTCCAACCCGTGAACTGCCAGATCATGACCTGAGCAGAAG